ACCCTGAAGATATTGATTCAGGAGAACCTAACACAGCATGCCAGCTCTCCAACAAAGGGCCTCCATGCACGTCGCCATCATAAGATCCCAGCTCCACAGCTAGAAGGACCCCCAGAAGCCAGCCAGCCCAGCCACCTTCCTTTTACAGATGAGGACGCTGAGCAGACACAGGTGAGTCACACAGCTGGTAAGCGTGACAGTTTTGAACCCAAGTCTTCCTGGGTCTGAATCTTGTATTCTATCCACTGTGCCACATCTCCTCCTACAAGATTCCCTGCCAGAGGCAACAACACTCTCATTATCAGTAGCAAGCAAGACATAAAATACTGGGGCGAGTGCTAGGCAGGGTGGGGGCCCCTGCCCTGGCGATCACGCAAGCAGTCCTGAAGGAAGATTCCCCAGAAGTTTGCTGGTGGCATTGTACTCAATGCATCAGACTCTGGGACCCTGCTGAGCCTCCCAAGCTTGGCTCACAATCATTTAACCTAACAATCCACACGGGAAAAACTAAGTGGATGAAGAATGCCTAGTGAACACTTGGATGGACAGCCCCCTGAGCTAGTCCATCAGTACAGATACTACACGTGGCCAATCAACTGGCAACAGAATCGAAGAGGAGAAAGAGAAAGCTGGAACGTACTCAGGGAACTGCACGGCCCTTTCAGTGACTCCGGGCTTCTCCCTAAAATAAAAACCTGTAACACCGATATTCTTCCATCAACACACGTGGCTCCAAATCAGAGGACACCACCATCTCCAAAGACCCCAAGTGCCTTTTATTTGGGGCCCCAAATCATGACCCAATGGTCATTTACATTTTGTAGTTTGTCTTTTGAAAACCGTCCCTATGTTTTACATGGTCATGCATCCCTTCATGGTCTCTTTTACGGAATTTCTCATGCACAATTTATTTGGGGTCACAGGTGGCAACCTGCCTACTCCCACCCTACAGTGTGCTGTTGCTGTCTGGGCAACTTGCAGTTTGGGGTTTTTGGAAATGGCGATATTCTGCGATTTGCAGCCACATGTGATGATGGAACAGTATTGGTGTTAGAGGTTGTTATTTTAGGGAGAAGACTAGAGTCACAGAAAGGGCTACCCGGTTGCCAAAGGACATTCCAGCTTTCTCTTTCTGCTTTTCAGTTCTGTTGCCAGTGGTGACTCAAAATGGGTACCCACTGATTAGGAGAATGGCTTTACAAACAAACTGTGATATAGAAATATAAAGGAATGGAGCAAGTAAGACACATGGCCTAGGAGGAATTCAGAAAAACATGGGAAAATCTGTGTGAACTGATGACTAAAATAAGTAGATCCAAAGGAATCGTAGACATAACTGCCATGACACACATGTCTTCATTTACTGAAAGGAAGTTCAATTCTGAGGAAGCGTAAAACCAACGATGGTTACAGAGAGCCGAAAACAAAGCATGGCTCCCTCCCCACAGCAGAAGAATGGGAGGCTGCTTGGGCAGAATGTGGCATACATTGTCTGACTGGGGATAACACCAGCTGTGCCAAGGGAGGGCTCCTTCTGGAGCGGGGATGGGCTGAGAGGTCTTTTGCCTGAAATGACTATGATTTAAAGACAAAAGGCAGCAATAAAACTTTTTTTTAAAGAGAGGTTTGCCCAGAATGAGGCAAGGGCTGACGCCGGAGTAAAATCGAGGGGCTGCCCAGAGGCTGCTGAGGGGCTGCAGCACCCCGAGTGAGGCCCTGGGGAAAAACAGTGGTACTCAGGCTGAGGCACCCCCACATCCAGGAGGTCTCCACTGAAATGCAGAAGTTGTAGATGACTATGGAAGGAGGAATGTAGCTAGAGAGACACATTACTTCAATGTTTCAGGTCTGATACTTCCCCCACCAACACAGACTGTGCCTCACCCACCCACTAAGGCCTCAGTGGACAGTCTATGAAAAATCCATCACCCCAAAAGCCAAGCTGATTGTCCAGCTCAGATCCCCACTTTACAGGTAAAAAAAAAAACTGGCTGGGAAAGGTTAAGTTACTACTCAAGGGTCCTAGAGTTAGTAAGTGTTTGAGGAAAGTTTCAAACCCAAGCCTTCCTGACTCCAAGTCCTATGTTCTATCCACTAAGCCATCTCGCCACCTGGTGGTCTACTGCCCATAGTTATCTCCATACAGTAACAAGGTTATCACCAAAGGGTTTTAGTGGAAGACACAGGCACGTGAAATATTTAGAGACAAAACATATTTATCATGGACAGATAGGGGAGGGAGCGTAGAATTGCCCAAGGCTTTGTCAGCCAACTCCGACAGGCATTCAAGAAAAGATAAAAACCATGGAGATGCTAAGTTCCACATTCTGCCCCAGCTACAGGTGGGGAGAACAAAAACCACTCAAAGGTAGCCATCCTCAAGTTCATGCAAGCCAGACTTGGGGGAGAAATGTGGACTCTATCTAAACCAAGATGGCGGGCATTGTGAGAAAATGAATGTCTGGCAGCTAGGCACTCCACAGTGAAGAAACTGACTTAGAGACATCCTCAGGGACACAGACCTGACCTGCAGGACCATAAAGGCGGAGTAAGAAAGGTCCTATAGCCGCAGCAGTATCAGGTGCTCTGCCCCAAGCTGTCCTCCTTTGAGAGGTTGGGGCCTCAGGCATTGATCCAAAGAAGAGAAGTCTTATCTTCTAGGATTCTGGCATGGCAGGGACCCTGACCTGTACCTGAGGGCAGCATATGGCAGGCAACTGTTTAATTACAAAAATTGTTTCATAAACTAAAATCAGCACTTCATAAATACACTGATGATCAGTAGGGCCTTAATCACCTCTGACCTGGATGCTGCATTAGTCTTCTAATCGTCGCCTCAAATCTCTCCCCATTTTAGGCTCTCCTCCATTCAGCTGCCAAACTGACTGACCTAAAGGATATGTCATACTGTCTCCCTTCCCCTCCTCCCACCACTAGTTCCTCTCCAAGATCCCCTCTAAAGGCCTTGGTTTGCCATTCAAAGCCTTCCACGACCTGGCCCCCTCCTCCCTTTCCAGTTTTCTTACACTTTGCTCCCCTCCCCACAACTCTACCAGCCAGCCAGATTGGCCTTCCTTCTTCCTGTTCCTCACACTCAGCACTCCATCCCCCGCTCAGTGCCTTTGCATTGGCTGTGCCCCTCACCTAGAATGGTCTCCCTCACCACTGAGGCTTGGCTCATCGCCTTCTGCAGAAACACATTCTGGCGCTCCTCTCTCCACCCCCTCTTCCTCTGTAGGTATCTCTGTTTACACCTATTTATTTCCATGTTGCTTCCCCCTTAGACTGGGAGTTCTCTGAGCCCAGGGACTATCTTTTTTTTTTTGGCCTTTCTTTGTATCCCCAGCACTTAGCACCATGCCCTGCCCCTAAGAAGCTCTTAAAAGTGCTTGGTAATGAATAATGCCATCACTTACTATCTAGTTAATCAAGCAAGCATTGCAAGTGCAGAACTTACTTCCATTTTGGCCTCCCCTCGACTAGCCCCACCTGGGGGGGGCAGCCCCCTCGGGGCTCGGCTGTGTAGGGCACGTGTTACATTCCCCTGGTCTGCGCGTCCAAAGTACAGCCTGCTGGCCTAGCGCCTCCACAGAGGCCCCTCTGCCTCCCATCTCCCTCAGTCTCCTGTGAGCCAGCATCTGCAAGTGCTGAGTCCAGGGCAAGGCCTCCAGGAAGTATGTCATGAAGGCAAAGAAGCATTGCTTGTTCCATCCCTGCTGCTCCTCCATCTGGTCAATTCTACCTCTGAAACACAGCACAGCTCCCCTCTCACCCAGATCACCTCCAAGGTACCGGCTAACTCAAAACCGGCGATTCTTTTCCACAGGACCTGCAGTCTAACTATACTTTCCCTAGCTTTCACCTGGATTCAAAAACTCAACTTCACCAGTATACTCACTTTAACTGAACTGCCTGTCCTTCTCCTCAGCCCACCATCCTAGCTAGCCACCATCTCTGGGATCCTAATTCTGGGTCCCTGTGTTCTGGTTTTTCCCATGGCCCTCTCCTCTCACTTGAAGCTTGGGATCATGTACACATCTGATAAACATGGCCAAAGCGCCTTCATGCAAGTGATTCCTTCCAAGGCCAGGGCTCGCCCCCTGGAGAGTCTCACCAGGAGCTCCCTTCCTGCCCCTCTGTCTTCTGCCTGGATGTCCCACTAGTTTTGTTAAGGGCTGACATAAAGACACAGTGGGTTGGTTTTCCATCTCTGGAGACAAACTAGGGCCAGGATGGTTATCTAGCACACCACACCCCAAAGAGATCTTAACAGTCACAAATGGGCTGAATCTGTGATATGACATTTAAGAGGGGAAAGTGCGGCATTCAACATCGGAGTTAAGAAAAGGAACCACCCATGGCCAAGATGGGGAGGCCCGGCTTAGGTCAGAGACTCGGCTAGAAGGGAGGGACCCCAGTTCATGTGACAAAGACCTGGGCATTTTAGCTGTCATTAGGCGCCCAGACTCTCCACAGCCATGTAAAATACCACCCACAACCATCCAAGGCTGCACTAGGGTCTCCAGGCCAAGAAGAAGAGGAATTCAGATCCATTCCTTTGTTGTCTCTGTTGCTACCTTGGCCAAAGGACCTTGACAGGCCAGAGGCCTGCCCAGGCAGAAACAATGGCCTGGGCGGGTAGTTGAAGGAACTGAGGCAATTTACCCCAAAGAGACTTGTGGGGGTCACAATCAGTCTTCAAGTATCTGGAAGATGACCCTGCAGAAACTGTTGTATGGGGCTCCTGGGAGCAGGGACAGTGGGAGGCCAAGACACAGAAACAGACATGGGTTCCACAGAAGAAAGAACAGTTAGAGCTGTCAGAAATGGAGTGGACTGCCTGGGAAGGCAGGAAGACGTTCCAAGCAGAGGCGGGGTGGGCAGCTACCGGAGGACTCACAAGGGATCTCCTTATCCCTCCCGTCTCTCCCAGAGGTGTCGCAGCCCTGCACCTCGCTGATGTGCTAGCAGAAGCCTCCTGCTCGGTCCAGACCACTTACCTATGCCGATGGCTTGATACGCATGCTCAGGATCATGCACCAGGTCACACAGGGCCATCAGGGCCCTCTGCCGGGTCAGCAGATCCGGGGACTGCAGCTCCTCGTTCAGCTTAGGCAGGGCCCGTCGTCCATAGGCGATGGAAGCTTTGGTGGGGTCGATGTCAGGAGGCAGGTACTGGGAAATCAGAGGACTCGCCATCCAGCAAGAGGTGGGGAGGGAATCCTCCCTTTGGAGGGACTGCCAAGAAAGAACAATCCAAAAAACCCGTCACTCAAGGCACTGGCTGCTCTGAACGTACCTGAAAGTTGGGGCCAAGAAAGAGCCTGGACTGGGAATCCCGGGATATGGGGGGAAATGCTGCCTTTTTGGCTGGGCAGCCTCAAGCAAATGCCCTCCCTTATTAACACTCTTACTTTATATTTATTATGCGTAGTTCTAAATTCTGTGTCAACTCCCCCACTCAGAATATAAGCTCCCAGGACGCAGACTTTCACTTCAGCACAGTGCCTGGCACATAGCAGGCCCTAAATTAGTGCTTGTGAATCAATTAGTAGCTGACATTTACCCAACAGTTTTACAATTGACAGAGCTGTGTAGCTGGCCCCCATTTGCTCCTTACCCAACCCTAGGGAGGCAGACACTTTATTTTTGGTTCCAAGGTGGGGATTACAGTTGTGGAAGCTTCCTCCATCACTGCAGTTCCAAACTCTCTTGCATGGTCTTAAAAGAGGGGCCCGGGGCTCTCACACCGATGGCAGCTTTCCTCTGTTCACTATTCCACCCAGCCCTCACAACAGCATGATGAGGAGAAGGCTCTTATTCTCCTGACTTTACAGATGGGGACACTGAGGCTCAGATGGGCTGTGCTGCCGGAGCCACATCTTCCTTCTTCGCAGACCAGTCCCCTACATCCACTGCCCCCACCCAAGCCCCTTGAGGCAGACCCTGCGGTTATGATCATGCCCATTTTACAGATGAGGAGGGAAGTGACCGGCCCAAAGTCACACACCAAACGTGGCAAAGCTGGCACTCAAGCCCAAGTCTCCTAGTCTTGAGTCCTCTACTCCACAGATGCCTCAGTTTCCCTCTCAGTGAAAGGAGGTGGTGGGCCTAGACGATCTCTGGGTTCCTCCGGGGGCTAAACCCCGTGCGTCAGCTCGGCATTCCGGGCTCTCGGGCGGAGAGACTTGGGGCGAGCCCCTCAGTTTCCCCGTCAGTGAAATGGAGGGGTGAACCCTCTTTTCAACCCCAAATCCCACGATCCTCAGCCAGGCGCATTCTCGGGGGTCCTCGGGGCGGTCCCGGGTTCGAGCCTCGGTCCCCCCGGGGGCGAAATGGGGCAGGCGCGTCCCCGGCCGCCGCCTCAGCCTCACCTCGGGACCCCGCCGGAGTAGCCTCCCTGGGGCTGAGGGACCGTCCGCTTGGAGCTACAGTTGCTAAGGCGACCGCAGAGACTTCCGACGCGGGAGTCCCGGGAAGTGCGCCCCTCAGGTCCCGCCCCCGTCCCGCGTCGCCTAGCAACGCACAGCACGCGCCCCCTGGAGCCAGCTGCACGCCTCGGGACAGCTCCTTTTCACTGACTCGCGCCCCGCCCCTCCAACGGAGCCCAGCGCGCGCCCACTGAGCAGGCGCGAGACACGCCCGTCCCCCTCCTCCCCCGCCTCCCCGCCTACCCGTCTCACTAGCTCCGCCCCGACACCGGGCTGGCTGACTACGTGGTGGGCGCCCGCAGAAGAGCCCGTGCTCCCTGCTAGTGTGCGCGTCGTCTGCATGTGGCTGTAAACTCGTACTGGGGACAGGGGGCTTTCTGAAACCAGGAGAACGCCCCCAACGAGGTCGAGGCTGCCTGTCCACGGTCTAGAGCGGCGGGGTCCAGAGCCTCTGGTGGGGAAGCCAGTTGGAGCCCTGCCCAGTGTGTAAAGCCCCTGGGCCTCAGTTTCCCCATCTCTATGTGAGGCTGGGGTTGAGCCCATCCCCATTTGGCTTCCCTCTCTTCATCATCCTCATTTAGCCTGTATGTAGTTTGTACATATTTTTTGCTTATTGTCTCCCTCATTAGAGTGTAAGCTCCTTGAGGGCAGAGACTGTTTTTGTCTCCTTTTGTATCCCCAGTGCTTAGCACAGTGCCTGGCACACAGTAGGCATTTAATAAATGTTTGTTGACTGACAGCCTGGTGTGGACCAAGTGAAAACACTTTTTGATCGAATCACACCAGCAGAAGTGAGAATGAGCAGGACTGTATACCTCCTGGATGGATCAAAGCCATTGTGTTGGAGCCTGGGGGAGAGAAGAGGAGGGGAGATTGGAGCAAGGGGAGGATGGCGCTGGGGCCCCGGAAGGACAGGGTGAGGGCTCATTAGCTCTCCTGGCATCTCGGAGTGAAGGACACAGACCGGGAGCAAAGCCCTAAAAAAGGGCAGCTCTTTCCCGGGCTTCCCCTCCCAATGTCGCCCATCCACAGACCGCCACCCTCTAATCTACTGTTTCCCTACTCAAGCATGTCTGGTAACTTTGCCTCAGCCAGTCACAAAGAAGTCAGAGGTTGACTTAGGATAAATAGAAAACTAGGGTTAGACAGTCTAGGTCTTAGGAACTTTCCTCACTGGGGGCTTGGAGAGATCATGGCTGAACTCAGAACTTTTCACTTAAAAATAAACCCTACAGCCAAAGGAGAAGGAGTCAAATGGGCCTCCAGGACCGTTATGTTGCCCCACAGAACTAAAACGAAGTAATTATTACAAAAATTATAGGTAGTGCAATGGATAGAGCACTGGGTCTGGAGTCAGAAAGACCTGAGCTCAAATCCAGCCTCAGATATTTATTACTTGTGTGACCCTGAGCAAGCCGCTTAACTTCTGTTTGCCTCAGTTTCCTCAACTGTAAAATGGGGGTAATAGCATCCCTCACAAAGGTTGTTGTGAGGATCAAATGAAGTATTTCCAAAAAGTGCTTGGAACATAGTAGGTGCTACATCAATGCTTCTTCCCTTCCCTCCCCCTTATAGGGTATTACATGTAAAATGAACTAGGAGATCTCTAAGGTTCCTTCCATCTCTAACTTTCTAGTCAAATGTAAGCTCCTTGAGAGCAGGTGTTCAGTCATTTTTCAACTCTCCATGACCCCATTTGGAGTTTTCTTGGCAGAGATCCTGGAGTGGTTTGCCATTTCCTTTCCAGATCATTTTACAGATGAGGAAACTGAGGTAAACAGGGTGAAGTGGCTTGCTCAGGGTCACACAGCTAGTAAATGTCTGGTGTCTGAGGCAGAATTTGAACTCATGAAGATGAGCCTTCCCGATTCCAGGCCCATCTCTATGCACTAGGGCACCACCTACCAGCCCCGAGAGAGCAGATACTGCTTTGTATTTTGTCTTTTCTATTGCCAGCGCCTACTGCATGTCAAATAAGAAGTTATTAATAAATGCTTGCTGGTGCTGAGATTTCACATGATCCATTTCTTATTTCTGTACCTTTGTAAACACTCTTCTTGTGCCTAGAAGGCACTCCCTCCTCACCTCTGCCTCCTGAAATCCTTAGCTTCCTTCTAAGCTCAACTCAAGTGAATAAAATATAACTGGCCTGGCCCTCAGACAGTGGGGCAACCAATGTTACATGTAGATCCCCCAAAAGAAGGCATGAGTGACACTGTAGCTGCTTCAAGCAATGACTCAGAGAGGGGAAAAATGGGTTTTCCACAAGGACTCCATGAATGCCTAGATGAAACGACTCAAGTGATTAAAAAATGAAATAAAAGTTCTGGAGGAAGCAATTGGAAAGGCAATAAATATCTCAGAACAAAAAGTGGGCAGCTTTGCCCAAGTATGAGTCTACTAGAATAGATTAAGCAAAAAGCAATGAGATAGTAAGAAATACTAGAACAAAATCAAAAGATTGAAAAATAGGAGAAGTGTAATATATTTGCTATCAAAAACAACTGACCTCAAAAACAGGTCAAGGAGAAATAATTTAAGAATTATTGAATTCCTTGAAAGCCATGATAAAAAATATTTTGGACACTATATTTCAAGACAGCATAAATGAAACCTGCCCAAAGCTATTAGAATCATAGGGCAAAGTAAAGTCTGAAAAAATCCACAGATGACTTTCTGAAAGAAACCTCAAAAGGAAGAGTCACAGGAATATCATAACCTAAATCTAGCACTCCCTCATCAAAGAAAAGGATGCTGTAAGCCCCCAAAAAAGCAGTTCAGGAACCAAGGAACCATAGTGAGCATCCCACAAGCCCTGGCAGCGTCTACTATAAACAAGAGGAGCTCTTGGAATACAACAGTCCAAAAAGCAAAAGATGAAAGCTTACAACCAAGAATTACTTTCCATTTGAAGATGGGTATAATCCTACAGGGAGAAAATAGATGTGAATGGAATAGAATACTTTTCAGCATTTCTGATGGAAAGACCAGAGATGAGTAGTGACCGAAAAACAAACAGAAGAGTACAGAGAAACCTAGAAAGGTGAATTTATTCAGGCAGTTAGAAGGTGCTATACAAAGACATAGGGCTAACATTCTGATTGGTAGGTCGTTGTCCTTTACTCTTGAAGAGACTAGAATGACATCACTACATTGGGAGTCAAGTTAAGTCCAACCTTGGGTGATCAGACCAATATGAGCTCGGAAGATTCTACCACAGGTTGGACACAAATAGTGCATATGAACATTTGGGGTGGAGATGTCTCTAAATTTGCACACCTCGTTTCTTTTGAGCTACTGCAATTCTGCTTCCCTCATAGAGCACAGTGCCTTTGTTGATTCAGGCATGCCATGCTGAGCAGTCTTTTGCCAGTGTCTCCCAATCTATTCCAAAGTTCTTCAGAGAGACCTTGAGAATGTCCTGCATCGCCCCTTATCATCTCCATATGAATGCCTTCCTTGCATGAGTTCTCTATAAAATAGTCTTTTAGGCAAATGTGCATTTGACATTCAAACAACTTGGCCATCTCATTGGAGTTGCACTCTGCAGTAGAGTTTGAATGCTTGGCAGTTTAGTTTGAGAAAGGATCTCAGTGTCTGGTATCTTGAATGGAAGCAATTCAGTTTCCTGGCATGGTGCTGGTATACTGTCCATGCTCACAGGCATACAACAATGAGGTCAGCACACCAGCTCTGTAGATCTTCAGCTGGGTAATCAGTCTAATACCTCTTCTCTCCCACACTTTCCTTTGGAGCCTCCTAAGCACCGAGCTAGCTCTGGCAATGCATGCATCAACCTCACCACTTACATGCACGTCCCCAGAAAGTATACGGCCAAGGTAAGTGAACTTATCCACAGCATTCAAAGCTTCTCCATTTGTCGTAACTGATGGCTCCACGTATGGATGGTGTGGTGCTGGCTGATGGAGCACCTGTGTTTTCTTGGTGTTAATTGTCAGGCCAAAATTAGCACAAGTACCAGAGAATCGATCCCTACTTTGCTGCGTCTCAGCTCCAGAGGCTGCATTGAGTGCACAATCACCTGCAAACAGAAAACCCTGCACCAACACTCCCTCTACTTGGAGAAGAAACAAGTGTCTCTTCAGAGCCTTAATGTCTTCAAAAGATGGAGAGAGTTAAGTAAAAAAAAAAAAAACTAGAACCTGGGGGTGGTTTCATTCTGTTCCAAGGCTTTAAAGAGGAAGAAGAGAAGGGAGGGTAAAAGGAATAGACTCACACAGGATGGAGGAGGAAGGGGGGGGGAACTTGTCGTTTCTCACATTTGAGGCATGTGAGAGGAGTAAAGGGACGTGGATAAAGTCCGAGCCCCCACGTAGGAGCAGGCATCAAATGCATCTCACTCTTTTTTGAACTGGACAAAAGAGCATTGAATACACATACACAGACCCTAAGAATGGTGTAGGTATACACTAAACTCAACAGGGAAACAAGAAGAGACTGGGAAAGGAGTTGAGAAGGAAGTTAATACAAAGGGGATAGTCACAAGCGAAACAAGCTTCCTGATCCTCCGTGGGGGGGAGGGGGGGGAGGAGAGGAGG